AATTAAATAATTTGATATTTGAGTTAATTTTATTAGAAAGTAATGTGTAATCTATTAATTTACGTAAAAACTGATAAATTTGGATTTTTTGTCCGTGGTTATTTTGACCGTTGGATATTTTGTCCTAGATTCGTGATGACATACGTATAATATACTTATCTAATGATAAATAATATTTATTTTTTCAGTTCCGGATCACGTAAGGCCCCGTGTTTGCAGTCTTCCAGAAAAACCATACAATCCAAGGTCTGGGGACGAGTTGTATAGACTTCGTACTTTTAGTATAACTAATAAAGGTGGAGTGGTGAATTGTGGAGATAGTATTATAAACAGAAGATCCAGAAGTAATACTAGCGTCAATTCAACAACTAGCAAGTGAATATTATATCTACATACCTATTTATTTTAATTATTATTTCATAGAAATAACCTAATAATTATCAATTGAAAACACTTATGTCTTATAATCGGTGGATCAAAACTATAATCGTATGACTATAATATTGACTTACAAGTGTAGTTATTTTTACTTTGTAGACTCTAAAGTGTAAATATTGATATGATACATTTTATCCCTCGGGGAGGACCGAGGAGAGTGTTACTTGTTATCGAATATTCTCGATTATCGAGTGTAGTATTACTCGTATAGTCGTATAGTCTAGATAGTAGATATAATAATTATTATTATACCATACACAGTGATACTATCATGTGATAATATTATTCAGTGAAAGTTTACCTTAGATGATTATTTGTTTTTAGAACAAAAAGTAAAAAAAAAAAATTAAATATTTATTTTGTTTATTAAAAAATCTCAGTGGGTCCAATGRCACAGATAATCATTATCTTTACTTCAACCGAAAAACCCATTCGACCACAAAATATTTCGACTATATTAATAAAATATTCAACCACCAGTTTTTTGACCAAAAACGATTCGATCACACGACATTTTGATCGCTTTTTTTCGATCACTAAACCTTCAACCAAATGACTCGTACCGGTGTTTGTGAATTTGTGATTCCATTACATGCGAACGTATTCGTAAATGTATTGTCTCCAGCGCAAATAAATTAGAAAATACCTTGGTACACGAAATTACTATACATCAAGGTCTGAACAAGCTAAAGTAATTGATTTTTTCATATAATTTTAAATAATAATATGTACAATTAATATTTGCATTAAAATAATAGAAATATAGAAATATCATCGATTATAAAATATATTATAATATAAATAATAAATGTTGTAATTATGTAATTATCAATTTATCCTAGTTATTTTCGAGAATTTACCCACCCCCTCCTGAATAAMGTACATCTCTAAATAACGGACAATATTACGGTGACCGGTATTAAGAGGTTTCATTGTAGTATTGTACACAATGGTATAGAACCTTTTTAATATGAACATCAGCTATTATGAGGCCTTTTTAAACTTTAAAGTGAACTAATAGCTATGATAAAACATTTATCAACTGTAATGCTAATATTAGTTCATAGTTTCCTTAGATCATATACAAGTACATCGTATAAAAGTATAGTATATGATCTAAGATAGTTTCATACCTAACTAGTTTGTTATATGGAATTCCGAGAATGCTGAAAATTATAACTGATAAATTTCTTATCATTATACCTACTATAGAACATAATATATTGTCGTACTGACATTTGTGCTAATGTACCAATACAAAAATAATTTTTTATACTATATAAGTAAAATGTTTTCATCTCAAAATAATAATAAATCACTATTTATCTCAAATATTTCTCTGGTAAAAGTTCTATACAGTCGTTTGTAATYATATTTTTATTTAAACTAGGTACATGAAAATTTTCATACCAAGTATCTTAAAGAATAACGTGATTTTAAATATAATTATTAATTATATTTCTATACGATTCAAAATTCAGAAAATTTTAGTTGTCTATTAACTAGCTAAAAGAGGTTTTTTTTGAAGGGTTGTAACTAAAGCTTTTCATTTTCCAGTAACGTTCTATTATCCATATTGCATTTTAAATCCATAAGCCAAAAGTTTAAATTATCAAATGAAAGTCTTGAAATACTCGGAAAGTCCCTGGTATATAGATAAAATAAAAAAAGAAATAATCGTTAAGCCGATACCCATTCACCCACTCAAAACCTAAAATATTAAAAATTACTTTCCAGTTCGGTGTTATTTTCGCGTTTGCAGTTATTGTTTTATAAAAAGAAAATATTTTTTTAGTGTCCAAATAATTGACGGACACTGAATATTTTGACTCATATGAAATATTTAAATTATACAGATTGAATAAAACAACAAGACATTATTCAATTTTATAAGCCCAAAAAAAAAACAGCTACCATGAGAATTTCAAAACCAACCGATTCTTTTGCCAAAGTGCTTGGCATTGGGCAAACAATAATAAAAAACCGTTTAAGGTGAATTGATTGTGAATTATTAATTTTGAACTTATTTAAAAAATAAATTTGTATTTATATATTCCAAATCAATGGAAAAATTTAAATATATTTTTTGATATATATAAAAATATTTTTGTCTCCATCAAACTATTAACATATAAAATATAATTTTTAATTTTGTTGAACAAATAATATGGTATAAATTATAAAAATAACAAACAATTTAAWATTACGTTGCTTATTGATAATATATACTATATATAGTGTATTATTTTTAAACCGATAAAATTTAGTATTTATTCATTTATTACAAGACTATCTACACGTTATTTTACATATTTTCAAATTAATAAACACCTTCTTTAAGKAAAACCTGTATTGTTAGTATAATGATGCTTAATCTTAAGCTATGATTTATAAGTTATGACTTATACACTAAATTAAAAGAAAAGATAACACTTATATTAATTATAATAACAGAGAGGAATAAATTATACCATAATGGTAATTTAAATATTTTAAAACGTTAGTACCTATATTAGTTTAAGTTAAAGAAATGTAGGTACTTATAATATATTATTGTTACTAATAGTAGGTACCTAACTCATAGGTAGATAATATCAATTATGWTTCATGAATATAAACATTAAATTAATATTATAGTTTTTAGAACTAAATAATATGTTACAATCAATGTCTGAATTTAATTTCTAAAATAACATTTTATGTCATTCGTTTCCAACTAATAAGTTTTTTCTAAATAATAGTAGACTTCTATTTCGCAACCKTATCATTTGATATTTTATTCTTATTAGATATAAATTCATATGTATGAAATATCATTAAAAAAATAATATCATGAGYTGTGATAAATCTTTTAATTTATAATATATACTTACGTTTTGTATTCGTGTAATTAGTCATATAGAAATAAAAATGAGTTTCTTAAAATACATTTTTTCTTTTATAACTTCCCAAATTGTATTGGTTATTTTATAAACAGTTTTTTTTAACCTTAACATTTTTAAACTTCTAAGATTTCTTTATAATATTAGGTCAAATTAGTTACAATTTATGTTGAACATCGCATCGTTTGAGTATAGCTCTATGAATTTGGGTGTTAATGCTGGATAAATGTCTTCATTATGTTACTGAAATTCTTTCTAGYAGATTGAACAACGCAATTTGTTTTATTAGATGAAATGGAAACGTGCAACATTAAGCATTTTCTAAAACTTCTTTTTCTTGCATTCTTCTCTTTTTTTGTCTGTAGTTTTTCTTTGGATGATAAACATCAGACATTTAAACCCTTAAACMGATTCTGGCATTCTAAGCGATCGTATCAATTTACCTCCATATCTCCTACCACTAAATTATTATGTGTTATGTTTGATTGATARCTAGAACAAGGGAGTGATGTAATCGTAATGGGCATTAAACATACTTGCATATAACTGAATATAACTGAATATATTTAATTAAAAATTATAACCATGTGTCAAATCTGACATAGTAAACCTTTTGGTTTACAGTAACCATATAGAGTAACATCACAGTTTTTATTCGTGTAATTAAAATTATACACCACCGTTAAGCATATAGTGGCGCACACACCATGGTAATTAAATATTTTCACAAGATATTATGAGCAGACTAACATATTATATATTTTTTTCATATTCTATTATTAATTCATAACTGTACGTTGTTAATATTATGTGGTATAATATTGTATTTTGGCTGCTACAAAATAATTTCTGAAATGTTTACTACATATCTTAGTATAATATTATGCGGTGAAYYATTATTAATATCATATTATTACTAAAGCTAAGCTAGAAACTAAAATAATTTATATTGGCTTTTATAACCATTTCGGTTACTGGTTTTAATAATTATTACGGTTTTTATCGATATTGCTGGTTATATTTTTTAATTATTTTAGTTTTTACAACGGTTTTTGTTAAAAATATTATTATTTTATGGTTAGGTTCCAAACTCAGGAAAAACCAAAGAAAATTGAATGATAAATCGTTGAAAAAGAAGATAAATAGTGGAAACTGTATGTCCTACTAGTTAACGAGCAAAATCCCAACTATTTAATAATATCCCTAATAGAACATGTCTCTAAAAGATTCTGTGGTAGTTGCAGGAGACTTAGCCTTCGGAAGGGAATCAAATTGTAAATACCCTGGAATTTATATTAATCTACAAAAAATTAGCTACGATGAGATTAACAGGAGTAAAGTGACATGAAATATGTACTATGTTTCATTAGTACCATTATTTAAGTAAATTTTATATATTATTAAGAGTTAAGATAGGTTATTAGTTAATTATTTTTTCAAGTTTAACTTAAAAATGTTGAATAGTTAGTCTTTAAAATGTTTTAGTAAAATCAAAATCAGTAAGTCTCATTAAGACGTGTAGGTACTAGGTACCTGCAATTGAAAGCTTAATATTCAAATCTTTTTTTTATATGAACACCCCCTCTCCCATTGAAAATAGACCCCAGTTTCGCCACTAGGTCAGTAATATTACATACAATTAATAGTCTGAACATACATGATAGTTAAGGTTCATTTATATATAAAATGTAAGAGAGCGCAGACTTTGAATAGTAAATAATACACAAGAAAAGTAACAATATGAGATACTATAATTTCAACGATAAGAGATATTTAGTACCTATGTTTATAATTAGTACTTGCTTAATTAATAAGTTGTAAGGGAGAAGAGAGGTTTTATGATATTCGAAAATTCGGAAATAAATKMGGTTAATAATGTTTCAATATTGATTTGAAAAAATATGAGAAGAATATTGACCAGAAGTCAAAAATCGAAGCACTTTTACTGCCCCAAAACGTGATGACAGACACAAAAAAAAATATATGTATAAAAATAAAAACACACATTATGGTAAAATCAATACATTCATCGCTCCGCTAAGAATCTAAAACAATTAGTTAGAAAAGTGTGTTCCATTTTGTCAAATTATGTCGGTGATTTATAAGAATGTACTCGTAGGATGAAAAACTACGTTCATTATCAACACTGGTACGTATTTAAAATTGGCTAATATATTTAGTGAATATTTTTGAACAATGAACAATCGCAAAAGCAAATCGTTTAAATTAAAACTTCCACTATGAAATATTTTAAAAATTCTTTTAAAACATTTATTTTTACTTAAATATTTGTACATTTTGTTGTAATTAGTGTATTATTTGAGCTAATAAGAAGTCATTTATAGAAGTGACGTGTCTATACTTGTTTTAAAATGTTTAATGAGTTAAGGCGAAAAGTTAGAATTTTCATGCTTTTTCATACTTTTAGTTATATCTATGTATATGAAAAAGTATTAGCAAATAGTAGTGGTTCAACGGTTGCGAAGTATTCATGTTGTTTGTAGGAATTTTATCAACAAAACAGAACAAAATAAACAATTAAACAGATTATTCAGCCATGGCCCATGGGTTATGCCATGTCTCTACCATGTAAGACTTGTATTATTGGTAGATGCTGTTTTGGGCAAACCCAAATATTTTTTGAAACGTACATTTATATTTAATATGTATAAAAGTAATAATTAATTAATTTTTTGCTCATCACTTTTTTGGATTTTTACTCACTCGTTCGGTATATTATGTACTTTTTTCGCTCGCTTTTGTTTATGGTGACCAAATATGCAAAACATATGAAAGCATTGCAAAAACAGGATATACACTTACGTTGAAATATTAACTTTCGTTATTTAATCAATTAAGTAACAATTTATGGACACTCATATTAACAGCATGAATTATATGATAGGTATGCAGTGTTTTATGTATAAAATCTAGTCTTTCGTTATCAGTTATTATTCATAGTTCAAAAAAAAAAAATTATCTATGCGCAATAAAATATTAGTTTTTACTATATATTATAAAAGTGTAGCCTGGGGGCTAAAGCCCACTCCCCCGCACCGTACAAAGTTCCTGGCTACTCCACTTGTACACTACATACTGTTTATTTTAATTATTATCTAATGAATTAAGTTATTATCAATTTCTATAATATTAATAATATCTTTAGTATGTGAGCTAATACGAGGTACTATGCAGTATACATATTTCTAGTAGGATTCGTTAATTTATTTAAGGAGATGATTTTTTTTTTAAATATAATAAAATTTTAATTATATTATAAAGGTTGAATAAAAAGTTTCAAATAATACTTACCTACATCATATTATACACATACATAGTTTTACAAAAAACGGCATATTGCTGCTTAATATTAAGTTATAAAAGTATAACATTAAAATGGTTTATCCTTGAATAGGTATAAATCTACCATGGTATAATACATTTAAATGTCCATATTAGTACAATATATTTATCATATACAACACGTATAATTGTTGCATTTTAGATGAAGCAGCTCTATAAAAATCACAATAATTTCGAAAATATGTGCTTCAACATGTCATAGGTATAATCTTAACTTTTTGATAATTCATAAAATATTTCAGTTATGAAAATTATATGTAAATTATACAAATTATATCATTGATTTAATGATTTTTTTAATAATTATTAAAATACATATTGTTTCCAATGTCTATTTATATTTATATTATTGATTAGTAACACAACAAATTATCTGTGTGCACTGCGTATACCCATAATTTAATCATATAGGTAAGGAATAAGATCGAAACTTATTTTTATCAACAGCTCGTGATGTCGTTTACGGTTCGTTAGTTTTAGTATATTTAATAGACACAATTATATTAGGGTTTCTGYAAAATGTAAAATTACAAATTGTATGTCAGTCAACATTAATTTTTATACAGGAGCAATGTAATTTCTGCATTGACAAATAATTTTAATTAATGTTGCCATGTTGGATAAAACTGGMACCAAGAAAAAGAGTGATATGTGGCTTGGTATCAACATAAACTTACATCAATCAATTTCGTTCAACCACACTGTCGTAATCGCAAAACGCGTGTATATGTACATATTATATAATATTATGGTGTAGATGTAGTGTGATATTCCCTTGGGCGTATCTCGTGTTTCGGGAGATATAGGATTATATATAGTGATAATACGTCGTTATGCGCATAAAAGAAGTAGCCGAGGCGCCAACAATTTATTTTTGATAAATTATTGTGATTGTATTTTAGGAAACATATGTATTATATCGAGCATTTTTGAACGTAGGTACGATTGTTCTTAACGATAATGACTTGCGCTCGTCGTTAAAAAATATTCATTTTTTTTTAACCCAAACTATGATTTTTTTTTTTATAGACATAGTCCCAGTAACCTAAGCGGGATATCACCTTTTGATGGTTCGTGTTGTGGTGGAAATAGCAGCTATAATGATCTAAGCTCTGGAGAGTCTAGCGTTGCCGAAGAGATACCCAAGTACAGGGTGGTACTTCTTGGCGAATCTGGTGTCGGCAAAACGGCATTGGTTTCGCAGTTTATGACATCTGAATACATGAATACGTACGACGCATCCTTAGGTAAGAACATTGAGTTTTTTGATAAATTTACCAAAAGAAAATTTTTTATCATCGTTGAACCTAAATAATATGCATTGTTTTCCAATGTTATATGATTTGTTTTCGGTCCTAATGTAGGGCGTCACCCATTACTATATAAAACTTAACTATTTAACTTAATTTTGTACCGTACATTTTTGAACTTTTGTGTATATATGTCTCAAAAACATTAATATTATTACTTATAATAATAAACCTAACTGAACTGTAATAAAAACGTATACTTTTAAATTCAATAAACGAAATACCTAATATATAAGGTAAAAATATGGTATTAAAGTGGAATATTACCTACTATAAGTAAGTTTGTTTCGCGTGATGATTTTCAAAATAACATTAATAACGCATAGTAAATGCCACAATTAATTCTAAATATTTAATATTATTTAATACATACATTTATCAATGGATAATTTTAGCATATTTTCTTATTAAAATAGACATGAYGGCGTTGATGTATTTTTGGCTGCATAAATATACTAAATAGTCGCAGTTATGGTAATCRTCGCTAATTTTTTTTACCGTGTTCCTTTTTTATGGGATTTTTTCAAAGTTTACCGAATCTTATATTGATTAAAAACATAAAATACGACCTTTATATTTTACAATATGAGTTCATTTTTTGCAATCATAAGCTAAGACTAACAATCTTATTTTTATACAAAAGTCTATGTTATACTTATATATTTATTTTATTACAGAAAACCAAATGTTAAATAACGATAGATATAGATATTATTTTACTATTAATGTTTACTTTAAAAAATACATAAATATATTTTGATGTCCTATTTGATCAGTAAATCATTTATTTGTATATCTTAAAATTATACAATTTTATTTAATAGAAGAAAGAAATATTATTYCCTTCATAACTCAATATAACCAAGATGAAAGAATTAATCTGATTTCATTCTACTCCATGTCTTACTTTTATTTAAAGATCAATAAATTGAGATTAAATTAATCAACACAGTGTGGGTTATACGTAATAATATGTTTCTTGATAAACCGTATAWCTACAATAAGAAAACTGGGACCCTGGGGGCAATGACCCACCCTGTATAAGGAAAACAGATTGAAAATTACCAGACACAGTCACATAGGTTTACGAACTGTAATAAAGTTATTATTTATTGGTGAGTTTAAAATAGGTTATCGTATAAATAATGTTAAAAAATAAATAGGTATAATGTTTAGTTTGTACCTATCACATATTCACATATCTTACATAGTAATCATAGGTTCAGAAAATTAAAATAATGTTTTTGTAATAGATTATATGCTWTTYTATTTATAAYAGGTAAAATATTATTTAATCTGTCRTATAATYCTGCAATATAAGTGAAAAACAAGAGTGAGGGATAGTAACATACAAGTAACAATTAAATTTATAATACATTAAGTAACAGTTATACAAATAACATTGCTTTAATATAAAATTGTATTTACAGAAAATGTTAATATTTTTGTACCTATTCGTAAAAGTGTCAATCTATTTGATCGTATATCAATATATATATATATATGTTAAATATAAAAACAGAAGGTACATAAATTAAAAATAATATATTAAGAACCAGTGATCATTTAAAAAATATACAAACATAATATACAATAAATTAATGAAAAAGGTAATTTAAACTACGATAGAGAGACGGACAGAAATTTGTTATCTAAAACATTATTACTATATTATAATTACAAAATTGCTGTCTACATGGTGAGCTGGTTATTCAAACCATACCATTTCTCTCAATTATTTTAGTAACAGCAATCAAAAATGAAAGATGAAATAACAAAATTATTCATAATATTGGGTAAATTTTATAAAGTATTAGTTAGTTTATATTTTTTATAATCCTTCTCGGATTATAAATGTGATCAAAGGTATTATTGATTTTTAAATAATTGAGATGTTTCATAAATAAATATTCCACTATATAAAGTAAGTAAGTGTTAAAAGCTGGTTATGTTTGCCTACTAAAATTATTATAATCATAAATGTAGGTACATTATTCAATACCTACTTGTAATACCTAGTGAGTAGTGACTGATTAATTATTTAAATCTCGTATTAAGTTATTATTTAAAATTATGTGAAAACAATTTACTGCGTTCTGCATTTTCGCTAGTCTTAAAATACAATGTTATGAAAGTCACTTTTAAAACATATTCTTATACATAACAAAAGGTAGGTATATAAAATACTATTAAAAAAAATTATCCGTCTGTAGCAGAGATGTATTTGAGTTGTATTCAAACGCTTCATAAAAGTTGTAAGAACACTCTTTAAAATTTAAAAAAAATCTAGCTTTATCATTCCAAAATTTATTTTACGTTTAGTCTGTGTATTATGGTAATAGACAGCTTGAACGTTTATTATATTATTTTAAACACTTACTTCAATACTACACTAGAATAGCAACTCGTGTCATCAAATGAATATTGTTTCCCCATTTCCTTACTTGAAAAATTGACTCTGATACCTTTGTTAATAAAATATTGAACTTTGATATTTTGGTACCTATTTATGTATATGCCCTATAGGTACAAAATATAGTCTATGGACATTTTCGATCCCAAAACATGACAGATGAGCTGAAATTATTTTGTATTCGTTTTATTCAGAGATGCTAATCTAGCATAGAATAGAAAACTGTGATTTAAAACGATCAGAAAGATTATTTTATATAACAATAAACATTTGAACCTTTATTTACTTGGAAAACATATGAGCTGAAAATCATAAAATGGATATAAGAAATGAATCATTGGCTTGTTTATACAGGCTTATAAGTTAATGAAATCCATGCAATTAATATCTTTATCTTCATGACAACTCTGAATTTCTTACCGTTATGCGTTATGTATATTAAGTTATTCAATCTTCCATAGTAATCTTCCGTGTTATGTATGAATAAATGTGAAGCAACCAAACAATAAAGTAATGGTACTTGTAACTCGTGAGCAAAATTCAATCGTATACTGGTAACATATTGCTTACATTTCTTAACTTCATAGTGGGTATATGTAACTGTTGATTTAAGTATGGTATCCAATTATTATGATTCATGACATATTAAAATTAAAATTAAATTTAAAAAAATAGATACTAAGATTGGTCTTTATTTTTTTTTTTTTAAGTTCACAAAAATACATTTTAGGCAAAATTAATTTTGGTTTTGGGTGCAATTCTAAACTGCAGATTTCCATATACATGTAATTTTTACTGAATGTTTATATTAGAATTTTCTGTATAATATAAAATATTAAAAATATTTTGACTTATACTGAGCTATTTATATGTATATGAAATATTTGATTATTATTAAATTTTTTTTGAATTAACGCAGATAAAAATATTTTACTAGTTTAAAAAAGTAGAAAATTTAATAAAAATGTCCTTGCAAGTTATTGTTAGTGGAAATTAAACAAAAAAAAGTTGAACGTAAATCCACAATACCTTCTTATGAGTTCAGAATTTCGAAATACCTACGTTAAAAATATAAACATTTGCAAATTATTTTGAGTTATGAATTTATAAAATTTTTCTTTTTAAATCAAAAGTTTGAAAATGTGAAACAAGATTCCCTATAAGTTTGTTTAYCTTTAACGAAAATTYCTATGGAAAGTTAAATAAAATTTTTACAACATTGGGTATTCACTCGATTTCTCAAGTAACGATTTCCCTATTTTGTTCTAACTCAAAAAACGAACAACTGTGACAACATACCTGAAATTTACATTAAATTTTAATGTTATTTTTTTTTGAGGGGAACCCGCGGCAACATAGGCCATTGGGTGTGGGGGTGGTACGGTAGGAATTATTTTTGCATACTTGTTTGTAGGTTTTTGAGTTGGTAGGATTGTAACACGTGTTTGTGTATGTGTGGCAAGGATATGTTGCTAAAAATCCCGGGTGGTCACCCATCCGGGAGCTAGCAACTGCGTTTCCGCAGATTGAGCGTACGACCGCGCCTCACTAAGCCACATTTTATGTTATTATTTCCTTTAGGTACTTAATAAGATTTTCAAAATATTTTGAACTATTTTTTGACATTTTTAGTTTTTTTTTTTTGTAAACGTCTATATAATTTAATTAATTAGGTCAAAAAGCTTGAAAATGTAATACTGTAGAAATCGGTTATAACGAGTTTCAAGGGCCAGGTAGTTTTTCTCGTTATAACCGGTAGCTCGTTATATGCGGTTAGAACGAGCATTCGTTGTAACCGATTAATAACGGGAAATACAAAAATAAAAACGACGACTTTTTTAATTTGACTTATAATCGAAATTAATACTGAATTTATACATGTATGCACATACATTATTTATACATACATTTATTATTAATTATTATAATTGRATAAGGTTCCGGGTAGATATATATTATATAGTTACAATAGCAAATGACAATTTTTTTTATTAGTATATAAAGTTCAAGTTTTGACAAAATGAATTAAAATGAAAATTTACAAATTATTTAGTAGTTAAAAATGTATTGAACTGAACGTTAAGCGATTATAGCTAAAGATTTTACTTTAAACAAGGTACTACGTAAGTAATTCATTCTGTAACCAAAGAATCTAAGAAATAAATACAGTTTTCTTTGTATAGTTATTTTAAGTTTAAATCCAGAAGAAAATACAAATTAAGTTACCAAAGATAACGATTTTAGATATATCGTTGTAATTTAAAAACATTACTCGGAGGTACTTGAAACTTTGAAACTTTGAAACTTTAAAAATATATTATTACACACAAGTAATATGCAAATATGCAAATAATATTAATTTAACCAACCAGCCGACTACATAAGAATAATAACAATAATAATTTAAATGTAATATAAAATATCTTAGGCTGWYTATCCGTTTCCGCTAAGAATCGTTTTCCGTATACAATTATATTATATCACCGAATTCAAATTTAACACCATTCATTATAGTGACCCACTA